CTGGCCCTGCAGCCATCTGTACCGCTGGTATCATCACTACCGCTAGTGTCATCTCTCCAATTGGTCTCGTCGCTACCTTTGGATACAGGCATTCTTTCGGGTCCCCTTCCAGCCGCTACTTCCATTCTCTCGGCACCTCTGCCTGGAGTATCGTCTATTATCCCTCTGGACCCTCTGGCCTCTCTACCAGCTGTTTCGTCCATCATATCAGCCCCGCTACCAGGAGTAACATCAATTTTACCTGCTCCGCTACCAGGTCCAGACTCAGGCCCATTGCCAGGAGTGACATCGATTCTATCAGCTCCTCTACCCGGAGTTACGTCAATTCTACCAGCTCCACTGCCAGGCCCAGACTCAGGTCCGTTGCCAGTTCCGTTGCCAGGGGTTTCCTCTATCCTCTCTGCTCCGCTGCCTGGGGTCACGTCCGTTCTGCCAGCTCCGCTGCCAGGCCCAGACTCTGGCCCATTGCCAGTCCCATTGCCAGGAGTCTCCTCTATCTTATCAGCTCCCCTACCTGAAATTACTTCCATTCTCCCAGCTCCACTTCCCGGAGTTTCCTCTGTCATTCCTGGGGATCCTCTAGCTTCTTTACCTGTGGTCTCATCTATTCTATCTGCTCCTCTACCTGGCCTTACATCGATTGTGTCAGCCCCACTGCCCGGAGTCACGTCGATTTTGCCAGCTCCGCTTCCCGGGGTCTCCTCTGTCATCCCTGGAGATCCTTTAGCATCTTTGCCAGCAGTCACGTCTATCCTTTCGGCTCCTATACCAGGGATCACATCTGTTCTCTCAGCTCCTCTGCCCGGTGTCACGTCCATTCTCCCAGCTCCACTTCCCGGAGTCTCCTCTATCATTCCTGGAGATCCTCTAGCTTCACTACCTGTGGTCTCATCTATCCTTTCGGCTCCTGTACCAGGGATCACATCCATGCTCTCGGCCCCCTTGCCTGGAGTCTCTTCTCTCGTTCCCCTTGATCCCCTGGCTTCTATACCTGGGGTCTCGTCTATTCTGTCCGGTCCGCTGCCAGGGATCACATCCATAGTCCCGGCTCCTGTCCCAGGGATAACGTCTCTTGTCTCCGCTCCTCTCGATCCGCTAACTTCTTTGCCAGCTGTCTCATCTATTCTATCGGCTCCTGTGCCAGGTGTTACATCCATTATTCCAGCCCCTATACCTGGGATTTCCTCTATTGTGCCTCTGGACCCCCTAGCATCCCTACCGGTCGTTTCGTCTATTCTTTCGGCACCTCTACCAGGGATTTCTTCCATTGTGCCCGGGGACCCTCTGGCTTCTCTTCCAGCTGTTTCATCTATTCTCTCTGCACCTTTGCCAGGCATCACGTCCATTGTACCAGCACCTCTGCCAGGTGTTACATCTATTCTACCAGGGGTCTCTTCTATTGTGCCGGTTTCTATACCAGGAGTCTCATCAATCCTTTCAGCGCCCCTGCCAGGGGTCACTTCTATTCTCTCGGCTCCTCTACCTGGTGTCACATCCATCTTACCAGGGGTCTCATCCATCATTCCATCTATAGTTCCAACTGGTGTTACATCCGTCATTCAGTCTCTTCCTACATTTATACCCCCGGTCTCCGCCCCGGCACTCACTTCCATCCTTCCCATTCCTCTCCCAAGTGGCACTTCTTTGATTCCCTCTCTCAACCCCTCGATCGTCACTTCTCTAGTACCGTCAGCTCTTACATCCGCTATCGCATCGCCCCCAGTCCCGGGAACTTCTATCATCCCATCCATCAACCCTTCTATGATCCCATCTTTGAGTATATCCTTACCACTGTCGTCCATTCCCCTTGGTACAGCTTTATCATCACTGCCAGGTGCACTACCTACGTCCATCATATCAGTCCCTAGCTCAATCGGGCCCTTACCAGTCCCAACCTCTATCGTACCTATCCCAAGCTCGGTCGGTTCCCTGCCCGGCTCAATTGGCTCTCTACCACTGCCAACCTCCTTAGTATCGATCCCAAGCTCAATAGCTTCACTGCCAAGTTCGATCGGTTCCCTGCCAATCCCGACGTCTATCCTCTCAATCCCGAGCTCGATTGGTCCTCTACCAGTTCCGACATCTCTTGGATCCCTCCCAGTGCCTACCTCTCTTCCCCCTATTCCAAGCTCTGTTGGTACCTTGCCAGCTTCGATCATACCTGTCCCTACCTCGCTTATCTCAATTCCAAGCTCTATCGCTCCACTGCCAAGCTCGATTGGTCCTCTGCCAGTTCCAACATCAGTTGTCTCGATCCCTGGCTCGATCAGCTCATTACTAACTGGTCTTCCATCAATTCCGAGCTCGATAGCCCCATTGCCGACTTCAGGCATCTCCGTGCCAACTTCTCTCCCGTCGATACCAAGCTCAATCGGTTCACTGCCAACTGTTCTTCCATCCATTCCGAGCTCGATTGGCTCCCTGCCAGTTCCAACGTCCCTTGTCCCGATTCCAACCTCGATCGTTCCTGTGCCAACTTCGGCGATGTCTTTGCCATTATCTTCTCTCAACACGGGGGTACCGTCGATATCGGGTCCTATCTCATCTCTGCCTACAGGTGTTTCGATCTCAAGCTCGGTTGCTCTATCCTCGGCCATGTCTTCAGCACCTCCGTCAATCCTCTCTTGTCCCGCCAACAGTGGGTCGACGTACAGCAGTTCCAGAGGTAACTTTGCACTTGAATGTTATATTGACTATTATGACTACGATCTTGGTATGGCACCCAACAATCCAATAAACTACGAGCAATGTATCCAGGCCTGTGCTGCAAATTCGTCATGTCAAGCAGTTTCTTATCTACCTAACGGCCCATGCTATCTGAAATACGGACTTGGACAGCCTTACGTTAACCCGGCTGTCTGGGGAGCTAGGCTTGCAAGTGTGCCAGTTCCATCCGTATTCCTGCCTCCAATCGTCCCACCACCTCAGTCTCCCGGAGGCATCATTCATCCCACAACAGCCCCCAGTTCTGGGGGAGCATCAAGTGTCAACCCAACGGCTCCCAGTTCTGGAGGTTCATTGAGTGCCAACCCAACAGCCCCCGGCTCTGGAGGAACACTAAGCACCAACCCCACAGCCCCCGGTTCTCCTGGAGGAACACTAAGCATCAACCCTACAGCCCCCGGTTCTGCAGGAACGCTGAGCGCCAATCCGACGGCTCCCGGCTCTGGAGGAACATTGAGTGTCAACCCAACGGCCCCAGGCTCTACTGTAGCGACCCTGAGCACCATTCGTACAACTACTTCAGCAGTCGGTCCAACATCCAGCCCGGTATCTTGTCCCACCTCCAATTTATCAACCGTGATTGTTGGCGGAAGACAGTACCTGATTACTTGCGGCATTGATTACTTCAACAACGACATATCGTCTCCATTGTCTCCTACATTCCCCAGATCATACGAAGGCTGCTTGGCTGATTGTTCATCCACCCCCAGCTGTGCTGCAGTTTCCTACGTCAAAGGCGGCCCTTGCTACTTGAAGACTGGCACTGGCACTGGCTTCAAGATTGATAGTACAATCATCGGCGCAAAGCTGATCAGAATCTTACCTACCTCTACATCCGCATCCGCTATGCCCACTCCATCTGGACCAATTGTCACTGTGACCACGACAGTCTCTAATACCGGTTACCAGTGCGCCTGCACACCTACTTCGTTCCCTCAGCCCACCCCTGTTACGTGCCCTGCGGATAACGGCAGCACATATACCACCACTTGTGGAGCTAAATATGCTGTAGAGTGTGCCTCAGACCGCTACGGCAACGATAGTGAGTGACATGATATGTAACATTGATGTTTTCTTTCTTTTTTGCTAACTTTCATCGCAGTCCCCGGGGGACTTGTCTTCGTAGACAGCTACGAAAATTGCCTTGAGAAATGTGACCAATTGGCAGGCTGTGTTGCTATATCCTTCGTCCCGCGACCTCCTGGCGTCCAAAGCCCTTGCTACCTGAAAGATTCTACGGGGACTGCTCGCCCGAACCCTGAGGTCAACGGTAGCAGCAAGATTTCTGGGTGCACAAGGCTCAAGCTGCGACGCAAGCGTGTTGTACAGCCCGCCCACAAGAAGCAGCCCGCACCAAAGAAACAGCTTGAAAAGCGTGTACTGTTCTTGGGTCCTGACTTCACTTTTACCCAGTCCCAAGTTACTGCCACGCAAACCTCCACAGTGGGCGCGACCGCTTTGACGTCAGTATTCTCCGCCCCCTTTTTCTACATGACTTTGCTGACCTAATCATAGTACCTCTACACCCCTCTTCGCTACTGCTACTGTGGCTAGCCCGACTCTGGCGACTGCTATCGCCCTGTCTACTCTGACTGTACGCAGCACGGTCGTCAACACTGTTAGCTACTGCCCAGCTGCTACCGGCGGTCTCACCGGTCCCCTAGGCTTGCCGATATGAGCGCTACATGTCATCTTTCCTTCTCAGTTCGAGGCAGTCGAGCCTCTTTAATTCTTGAGTTCATCAGGCTGAACTTACATCGAGGTCTTTTCTTTGCAAGATGGGCCTTTTTATCGTCGCTCCTTAGCACACGCTTTGCTTTCTCCTTACTTGTTTCTGCAGGCGTGTGATAGTGTTATAGAGACAGTAGGATATTTAATAATAAAGAGTCTTTCTTCCCTTATAAAATGCCCGGGCAGTTCTTTATTGCATTCTTTTCCATGTGACTTATCTCTGCTCAATACCCTTGATATCGCAGCTTCACTTGCAAAGAAAAGTAGCAAAAACAAAGTCTTGGTTGTTTGGCTTACTGCACAAGAACAGGCAGCAGCGTTAGGCAACCAATCACGAGCTACACCGGATACCGGCTTGCCCATGTTAGTTGCCGCACCTCCCCAGATATGTTTCTGATTTCAAGACAGCCGCCGTACTGATTGGATATCGTGAGCGTACAGGCGGAGATAATGCGGGCGGGATCCTTGCATTCACCTCCACCTCGCCTGTGCCGAGCACGGACCGCACCCGTTGCCTCCCACACTAGGGCGCAACGTCGACATCATCGACCCTTTTCAGACTCTCACAAACTGCCAGCTCTCCATCTGTCGTCATACGCATTGCCGTAGTCGTAACAATCTTTCGTATGGTTATGGATTAAAGAGGTTCTCGTTGTTTCTTTCCGGTAGGATATCGTACCACTTACATTTCGCTCGCTGCACGACCAGGGCCCCTGATTAGTGTTGGAACCGACAGCGAGTCTACAAATCATGGATTCTGTTGAGAAATTGCCCCTGGGGTTCAGAGTGGAACCAAAAACCCCGCACTGCAGAGGGTCTCCTGTCTCTCGCACAGAGACTTTTCCGCGCACACCCAGCAAACCCAAAACCAAGCAGAGCATACTTGCACTCGGGGATGAAACAGCAGACTTTGCAATCATATGCGAGAGAACGCGGTACACTGCGCATAAGGCCATTCTGTCAGCCTCGTCGCCTTACTTCGCGCGCATGTTCCGCTTCAGCGGCAGCGTAAGTCTCCCCCTTTTCCCGAATCCAGCTGTCGCTTATGGCTAAACCCACTGTACAGGAGATTAACAACAATGAAGTCAATGTACCAGATGTTGACGCGCTGTCCATGAAACAAGTCTTGGATTACATGTACACGGGCATGTACGCGCTTCCGTACGGCATCCCCATCCCGGCAACCGACTACTGCAAGCATAGCAGCTTGGCTCTCTTAGAAGGACCTGTTAGCAGTCCGAAGATCTTCAAGCGCAAGTGTCCTTGTGCTGGGAAGTGTCTTGCTCCTGCTCATCTCCTCATGCATGTGCGCATCTACACGGCTGCAGACTATCTAGACATGTTTGACCTCAAATCGTACGCACAGCAGGGTGTGGAGGATGTATTGCATGTTTATTGGCAGGATGATAGCTTAGAGCTGGCTGATGCACTGGAGGAGGTGTTTACAGCTACGCCGGATGATGATAGAGGGATGAGAAACGTATTTGTGGATGCGCTGAAGGAGCATCCGGGCTTGGCGGTTGATGTAGGAGACGTGAGAGCCTGGCTAGATGCAAATCCGGATGTAGATGAGAGTGTGAACTGGGGTTAAACACAGAAGGTGGCTGTGATGGGATAGACGGATTGCCCAAAGGCTGGTTTCGATATGTCCTGAACTAATTCACGGGAAAATCCAACGCGCTATTGCAGCGACCATCGATCGTGAAAGTGTGATAGAAAGGAATTCGACGCCAGACTGAATACCTGCTAATATTTCCAGTCAGTGGCTAATAATATAACGTCTCTGACATCTCATACCTTTAAGGTGTATTCGTATTCAGCACCAGAAGAGGTTCTCGTAGTAAGAACATAACATTTCCTAAGAGTTTGACTTAAAGAGTGTCGACTTCCGGTCCGTCAAGCATCTCTGTTACCAGTAGGAAAAGGACCCAACATGATAGTACAAGCTGTCCGAGTCTCTTAGGCCAATCGTCGTGATCTGGGGGCTCCCATGCACCCAAAAACACCAATTCACCAAGTTGGTTGCACCATGGGTTCAGAGTTCCTGCTTTCGGACCCCAGGAAGGTGGTCGCAACTCCTCAATCGGCACGCGGTCCAGGACGCTTCGCATACATTAATGCAATGGTCCTCGTCCCAATCATCGAGATAATTCCACATTGTATTCATGGACCGAGCCTATGCACCATCAGTACGTCGGAGTTCATCTAGGCGATGGCGTATGTTTGGGCAGCTTACTATATCTTGTGGTGAGGGCTTGCGAGGACCAACGTCCTCTTTCGGGGGCGGTAAGTGAGGATGCCGATCTTCGACGAGTATGGCGAAAGCATAGTAGACACTGTAGATCAGTAAAGCAGATAGGAAAGTTACGAGCGAAATGTGTGCGACACGATATATCAGCTTCATACCTGGTGATATGGGTGTATGTCAGTGGCTTCCGTTGTCTGTGTTGCTCGGCTCTTTCTTCCCTTGAGGGCGAGTGGAGCGCGCTAGTGGCCTAGCGTGTTCCCCAGTTGGCAGGAAACACACTCCTGCTATTGCCACCTCACTATCAACGTTTGGAGCATGTTCCGCAATCCATCTTCAGATTTCTTGCAAAATATCACATAGAACCAAATTTACATAGAGGTCTTGCCATTACCTCTGCTGAGCTTCTGCTACGTTGTTTCGCATGAAATACAACGCAAGCTTGACACTGCGCAAGTCATCACGCAGCAGAAGTCTTCCTACTCAGTGAGTGATTCACAATACCTACCTGGTTAATATTTACCTCATGTGGTTGATATATCAACAACACTATAGGGGCGACCAATCACATATTTGAATAGACATATCGATTTTCGGGTGATCCAGCTGTTACGCTCCTGCATCTAGTACACGTTCGGAAACTTTGACATGAGTATCGTGGAACGAGACGACTTCGAAAATAAGCGGTGTCAGGATGACAATACACTCAATTTACGCTGACCAATGCAGAATCATGGTTATACAAGCCTCCATTGGTTGTTAGCTATGGCTTCTTTAACCGCCAGGGTATCCTTTCTATTCCCTATCATATGGACAGAGATGGCCATTACAGCGATACAAGTGTGCCTGCAACTTCCTCTCGGATAGGCACGTGCATCAGCCAGGTACAAAATGGCGATCCTCGATGTTACGAACATCTTGTGGGTCAGGTATAATCCCTGTATTCCTGAAAACTAACTCCGTGAATACTCAGCCACGAATCACCTGATGAAATGGGCTCAGTAAAACTTTCGAACATTCACCAACAATCAAAGGGAGGCCTCTCGGGCTGTAAGCTTGAAAGGGATAGGCTCGGCAGTCTGAATTGGCGGCAATCGCGGGCTGCCGCGACTAATCATGCTTGTCACCCGATTGGGCTGGACGATATCCTAGACTAAGACGCGAAGTCTACCAAAATAGTATAGAGGCTCCTATCGGAAACTACCAACCCTGCAGATATCATGAGAGAAAGCATGACCGTAGTTCCGCCTCATATCTAGCCTCGAAACAGCAAGGTCAGCACAAGCAGAACCAGTTTCCAAGAATGACGAATTGGCAAAGGAGGCTCTAAAACACGAACGCCAAGACACTACGGCCAGCCCAAGTGGGCTTAACAATGCACAAGGTAAAGAAATGTCGAGCAGACGGCATCCATCTACAACTAGTCTGGGTGCTAGGTACCCGACTGAGAATACCTGATATCGCGAGATGAGAGTTGAACACTGAATGAAGTGTGAGATAGAACTTAAGAACTTCGCTAACAGTGTGGTCTAGACCCTTATGGCCCATCGTACCATGATCTTTTATTTACCGAATGTCTAAAATCCCCCACTTGGAGCCGCCGTCTGACATGCCTGACAGTACACAGGAGCTAGCCTCTTGTGGGTGACAAATACTTGCTATGCCGTCTTTACATTCCCCCTGCGCGGTGGGTGGCCGGACGCATACCTGATGAGCGCTGCGATCAAAGCAGGAAATACAGCAGCTGATTATGAAATTCTATGAAAATCAAGAGTAGACAGTAGGGCATCTGAAGCCAGTCTGACCCTGCAGAGTTGCAAGAAGGGGTAACAGGCAGTATTAGACTAATGCAGGTTAGGTAAGCGCACCCCCACCAAGTACTCTCACCCGCGCACCAAAGGAGCACTCGGCCGGAACCAATCACAATCAATCAAGAAGTGATGGCCTTTCCAGAAGTTTCCGATCATGTCCGCTCCTCAGCTGGTCTGGCCCTCAATGACCGCAGACTACGAAATCTGCGCACGGACGCTCAAGAGCCGCCCCTCAGTAACGGAGCTCCATCTTGGTTCTTCGATATCCAGATTGCTGCATCTCTTGAGACTCCATTCTCACCACCAGAGAAAACCAATCTCCTGCACTCTTATCTGTTTTTCTTTCAGCCTTGTCGTTGTTAGCAAACCCTAGAATCATCACCTGTTCCCAGCAACGCTGTCATGGGTCTCCTCGATCTCCCGCCCGAGATCCTTGACCTGATCATCGACCGCACGGCACCCGATGGTCTGGAAAACTTCGTCCTCTCATGCCGTGCCGTTTATTCTCGAGCCGCATCACAAATTCAACGCCACAATTCTCTGAAAAGGACCTGGCGACATATATCTAATTTGAGCACAACTCGCCTCCGTGACACACTGGCTATCTTGCACGAGATATCACGTGAACCGATCATTGCTGAGTACATCGAGAGCTTGTTCTTGTGGGATCGCGGCTCAGAGGATGAGGTCATGGACGAAGATGCCGAATATAGTTTCCGCGACGACGACGAGGCAATGGAAGAGATTAAGAGCTTGCTCCGAAGAACCGAACTTTACGCCAACGCCGATGAGAACGAATGGTGGAACCAGATTCTGGAAGAGGATAGGACTCATAATGGATCCAAAATCGACAAACTATACGCAACTATTGCTTTGTTGAGTCTGTTGCCCAATCTCAAAGTACTACAGCTACCTGACAGGTGGCATGAAACCCGAGAAGGTGAGGGCGCCGAGGATCTTGTTCCCCTTGTGCAGGCTTTAGTTTCCATGTCCAATGCTCCAGGGCATCGACAAAAGCCTTTGGCGCAACTGGAGACCTTGTTGCCATTCGTGGAGGAAGGGTACGATATCAGAGTTGGCCTCCAGGTTATAGAGCCGCTCATGGTTTTGAAAAGTATTAGAAATATCTATGCAGTTAGCTGTACAGCTGTCGACGAAGGCTGGGGGGGTCCCGGGTTTCGCTGGCTAAATCCAAATGCGAAGTCGCCCCTGACACGGGTCGAGTTTGCAAGCTGTTGTATGAATGCAACTGGTCTCGCAGGTTTTCTGTCAAATGTACCGGCATTACAGGTGTTCAGATACTCACACCAAACCAAATGGCACGGTGTCCAATACGACTGGAACCCTGGAGAAGTCCTAGAAACGCTCGCCAACTATTGCAGCGGGACCTTGGTTGACATTGCCATAACCATCGACGAACTGTTTGGTGAAATCGTCAACGGTCTGTCTTCGTTTCTCCGCTTCACAAAACTAGAGAGACTAGAAGTTGATCTCGAGTGTTTCTGCGGGCCACCACTGGAAAGTGGTCAGCGACAAGGCGCAGAAGCAAGAATTCCTGAAGGCGCTGTCGCATGGCGCCATGCAGACATACCGTGTATGGGTGACATGCTTCCCGACAGTATGCGAGAGCTCCATGTCAACACAAACTTCCCGCAGCCGTCTGAAGAGTCTCTCCTAGCTCTTTTCAAGAATATAGTAGCGCGACGCCAGGACAAGCTGCTAAATCTACACACGGCGATCATCCGCCAGTACCGATCATCGAGTGCGCAGTACATTGCGCAAAACCACCAGGTTCTGATTGAAGTTTTCGAGAAAGATGTAGAGAACCCAAGGCCGAGGTCGATGATGCCGCTCTGGAAGAGGGAATTCGACAGACGCGTGGGGGGTATTGTATCATCCTAGTGGTCTTCTCGCGCTTTCCATGCTGCTCCTGCACCGGCTTGAACTGGGTATCATCCTGGTCACATCGTGGCGCAATCCTCGGATCACGCTTCCAGAGCAGGGCGCATAGCTCTTATTCGGAGTTTATCAAGATGAGCAGGGTCTGCGGAGCCCCACAACTTTAGCACATACGAGACATTCTATGTATATGCACACCCATAATCAATGCCGATCCCGTCCAGGCGCAGAGGTATTCCAGCAGAAACCGAATTTCATAAAAAGTTGGCGCATTCTTGAGCCAGAGTATATGAAGGCGTAGAGCATTAGTGATTGCAGTCTCGCGTTGCATCTGCGCAGCGTACGTACAGCTGGCTACAATTACGTCATATTGACAGTTCTGTTAGCGAAGCCACATCAGTGAAGGGGGGATGAAATACCTCAAATGGGTGTTGATCACCAACAGGGTTGTTCTGAGATCCACAGCGGCCAGTTCAGCCGCCAATCAACTTCCTTGCACTGCCGTCCTTGATATCGCAACGGTTGTTTCGGCAGTGTAGACCCTAAAAGAGATATTCCGGGAAAGTCACGGCCCGCCTTCGCTTAGTAGTTGTCGCAATGTTAGCTAGATCGGTGGGCATATACGCTGGTTACTTGTCTCTTCAAAGCGCTCGATTCACAATTTGGGGTTTTTCTCCATCTCTGTACAATTTAGTTAGAATATAAGAGTATATTTATTATACTCTTTTCTCGGAACACATGCAGATATACAAAAAACTCGGCCACATTGTCGATCGAGAGTGCAACCAGCAACGCCTTAGACAATCCAACATCGATTACTTCAACATATATTGCACCAAGTCAACCTTCTCCAGCAAAAGGCCCATCGTCGCAATGTCGTTCTTATGAGCTGCATACATCACTTTTGCGATACATATTTGATTCGTGTCAAGATCCAAGTTTCATTTGTTGATGTGAAATGCAGGGTAGCGAGACGTGTAATCAATTAAGCATTGAGGTTGCACCAAACTGTGGGCTTCACAGTATCGTGTACAATCCTTTGAGGCCACAATTGCACATCAGGGTTATGAACAGACTGACCATTATCAGAGATCACACTAATGGTTCAACTTGCTGAATCATGGATATGGAAGTACATCACGCGCTCTGCAATAACGGTAATAGGTGCCTTGGTCGCCCCGCATATGGATCGAGCAGAGGAATGGTCAATTATATTGCATCCCTGAACGAATCTCGGCTGTACGCCCGAACCATGGATTGTAAAATTCTGCAGGGATTCATGACAACATCGATCTTTAGGGAAAGGAAGCGAAGCACAGACATGCTACCAGAATACTACGTACTTGTTCTATGACAATCGGGCGGAGTTTCAGTATGCACTCGACATGCAAGCAAAGGGAGAGTATATGGGATGCAAAAAATCAGTATGCAGAGATTCAGTCTAAATGAAGCTCATAGGCACAATCAGCTTTATTTCATAGAAAACTCTGCATTATGTTGCTTCCTGAGCCGGAATTTGACTAAGTTTGGTTACGGAAACATTGCTCTCGACTTCCACATACCTATTAGTTGTTGAAGCTGCGTGGGCTTCGCATGTCAGTCTTGTTATTGGACAACATTAATTTCCGAACAGGAGCTTTCAACCTCATCATTACTCAAATCCACCCGACCCTCAACCCATCCTCAACCATGATGTAAGGAATGCATTTCTACTGAATGTAAGTATAATTATTCGCGCAAATTTCCTTTTCGTTTTGTTGATTGTCACATAAGAAGACCGAAAGTCCTTTGGGATCTTTTCGGCCCTCGCAAGATCTTTCCCCACAGGCAATCTGAGAGGTACCAAAGGATCAGAACACCACCGGCAAGATGGAGCTCGTAGTCTTTCTTCTTGTGGCTCTTCTCTCTCTTGCTTCAGCAACCCCCGTACTTCCCGTTGTCAGACCCTTTGCCCCATCCAAGGTCGTTCCCCGAAACCCCAAATTTAAAATGCCCTTTCCCACGACATTCTACGACCTACCTACAGGCGACCCGAGAAGCGTCCCACTGCCTACGGGCGACCTGGGAAGTCCACCGCCTCCATGGCGACACGAAAATGGAGTAGGCGTGTACAAGGACCCTCATCAAGTCGCTCCGCTGTGGTATTCCGAGGACGAAAATGAATTTCCCCCTAAGCCAAAAAACAAAAATAAGCCCGATGGCAAACAGGCTCGAGATTCCGTTCCTACCGAAATTACGAAAATTATAAGCAGGAACGAGGTCACGATATCGAAGCCGAAGGTGCTAGTTAATGATTGCTATCTTGCGGCTCGAATAAAGTGCAAGGCAGTGTTGGGTCTGACGGACTGCGAGCAACAGTCCGCAAAGTACACAATACTGCAACCTGTTGGGGAAACTGGGGATTGCATTCCTCTCGAGCAAACTGGTTCTGACAATCTTCTCGGTGTTGTGAACACGCGGTTGCTGAGCAAAGAAGATGTGAAGGCCTGCTGGCAGGAGTGTGGAAACATCGGACAAGAGGCGTGCGAACAGTGCGACGAAAAGTTGCGGCTCGGAGGACTGACGCCTTCCACTCAGCCGGCTCGATACGATCCTTGGGGCTGGGGTCCGACGCAAGCTGGGGACCCTGTTGATCAGGGTATGGTATCGGTGGGTTTCCAGATGCTCTGGAAGTGCGCATTAAATTGCATGCGCAACAGCGTTACACCATGCAGGAACTGCGATCCGCTCTGGGAAGAGTCCAAGAAAGTTGTGTCCTCCCGTGGATTCAAGGAGGAAGAGGCTTTCTGGGGGTGTATACACGATTGCTCTCGCAACAGGCTGGTATCTTGTACGGCATGCGAGCCAGCCTGGCGCCAGCAACTGGCAATGATAACGTCCACTCAGCTGTCAGTTGAACAAGCAGTCGCGTACGCTGATATCTGGAACTGTGCAGTACACTGCAATGAAGACAGGACGCAGAAAATGTGCGCGCCGTGCGACGAACTCTGGAGGAAATGGGATGCAGGACTACCGCCCTTTGGACCCGAACGGACTGGTCTTCTTACCGCAAGAGTTGACGCCGGATCTCCATCAAGTACCGATTCCGAAGAATACGCGATCAGGCTTCGTTATAGTGAATGCATTCGATTATGCGATCTGGTCGACGACATTCGACCCGTCGAATTTTGCCACAACTGCGAGACGATACTCGTAAAATCTGCCTCAGTACTGGCGCCGAGTGCTTCGATCCGTCGAAGCATTTCCGCCGAGTCCAGCGAGACAATCGCAAGGCGCCTGCTGTACGTCTGGGACCCGGTCACTGGCGCTTTCAAGTGCAAAGAACAGTGCGCCAAGGGCAAGGACTACTACATCTCGTGTCTCCCCTGCCTGTACGATAAGGGCATCCCTGTTGGCGACAACACACCCCAGGTCGGTCAAGCAGAGGTCGTCAAGACGAGTCCTGAGCAAAAATCGGACGTCCTTCTTATTTCTTCGTAAAAAAAAAAGTAGTCACAAATACTGGGGTCGTAATGCTAGATAAGGTTGAGTGGGAATGTAGTTTGATTTCTGAGTTTCTATTAGAATATGCCGTCTTGATAATACATCTGTTTTGCGATATGGGCATTCCGCAATTCTTTCTTAAAGAAAAATTCTTGCAGTGAATACAGTACTGTAGTGATGAATGAAGGTATTTTGGGATATCAGGGATAGGCTGAAGTTGGCATTGTAACAAGCAGTTAAGATCACTCACTTGTTCTATCGCTTGACTCATTCTCAATTGCTGCTTACATCGTTCTTGATATCTGCACTACGATGATGCCCTAGATTACAAGCCCCACCTGCTTCTAACTACGCTTTTTCCACATCCAATACATCCTTGATTGGTTGCAACAAGCTATTCATAGCTGCTTCGTTAACTTCTTGGCCAGTGCCTACACCTGCTGGCGGCTCTATGCCCCATTCTGGGATCTGTCTCGTGCCAGAAACGGTGAGCTCTAGCATGCTTCCACCTGGATATTCCTTCTTCTGCAAGAGTTCTAACAGATGCTTCGCACATGTATCTGGTGTCAGTGCTACCTTTGGATCGAGGGAGAATTGCTTCATCTTTGTGGCATCGAACATTGGCGTCAGTACGGCGCCTGGGCAGAGACAGGTAATTTTGACTCCAGTCAGGGGCTCAGTAGTTGCGAGTGACTTTACAAACCCGATAATTGCATGTTTTGTTGCACAATACAAGGGTGCTGCTAGGTTGCCAACGATGCCCGCAATAGATGCCTGTGATGCGTTAATCTCGTGTCTATTCGGGCCGCTTTCAAATCAACAACGGCTCAATGCTGTCGGCAAAACTCACGATGATGCAAACACTTGCCCGCTTTCCTTTTCCCAAGCTCTTCCTTATTGCCAACCTCGTCAACTTGATCGGGTGATTCACATTAACATCAACCTGCCTGTACCCCTCATCTTTTTCCGGATCCTTCCAGAAATTTGAAAAGTCAGGTTCGAAAAGTCCAGCGCAGATAGCATATGCATCTGGCACATCGTTCCATTTCTTCTCGCACACATCGAAGAGCTTGTCAAAGTCTGACCAGCGTGTCACGTCAGTTTGAACATAGACGATGTTGTCTTTGCCGGCTGCGAAGCTGTCGAAGTCGGGTGTTGTTTTGAGGTCCGCGACGAGGACTCGTGTACCAAGTTCATAAGCTTGTTTCACCACGCAAAAACCAATGCCTTGATACAATGAGATCTAAGTGTAATCATTTGAGCCATCATGCATACCTGATGCGCCTCCAGTGACGAGCAGGATCCCGTTGTTCAGTGGTTGATCGATCGATGTCATGTTGAATTTATGTCTTGCGTTGAATATTCAGGTTATTGACTGGAGTTTAAAGAGCTATCGGGAAGAACGTTAACTTCGGCTATCGATTACACTCTGCAAATGCTTTGTTGTCAGGTGTCGGGATAACGGCTCCCGAGCGGAGGGCCGGAGAAGGCGGGGTCCGCTCCTGAGAGGGGTGCATGACCGCCAAACGGAATGGACCGACGTTCTGAAGGCAGTTGAGATCGGACTTGATTACGTATTAGCAGAGTGGCTAAGGATATCCTCTACCAAACAACAATCTGGCACTCAGGTTGAGTGTCAAGTCACGGCTACATAATCGCGCACGTATACGTTCTGCGTTGCCCTACTAGGTTTGGTAGTACGGTTACAATCCTCTCGATGAACACACAAGTAGAAAATGGAGTGGTCGGCTTGGCAAAATGCAGATAGACTTATTGTAGATTGTTGATATCGGGGTTATCTTTCAATATATATAGACGCATACGAACAAAGAAGTTGAAACCACTTGTGCATCCCCAATGTGCTTGCTATAGGCAGATGGAACCATGAGCTGGCAATCTAAATTACTTAGCCAAATGAAGCCTTCCAAAAGATGAGCTTTACGAAGTGTGCCAATTGCATAAGTGGGTCACCTAAAAACCCCACATTGACCGCACCAGTTTCCTGTCATCAATTTCTTACTACTAACATTAACAACAACAAGAATCTCAACCCTCACCACAACCCTCAAGCTATCCGTATCAGAGATCCGAGATGCGCACAAATTCAACAAAGTCATATACAGCGTATTTACGCACGATGGCGCATGTGAGACAGGGGTCAAGACACCGTAACACTGTGGCCCGGGTGTGAAAAGAGGCTCGTGTTTGCTCAACCAACGCAAACCAGTTCCTAGTCTTACCAGCAATCGCGATTGTGTATTATCATGCTGTAAGGTAATGCCAGAATAGCAATTTTTTACTGTTTGCCAAAAATAGTAGCATCCTAGTTCTGCTTGCGTTGGGAAAGCAGCACTTTCCAAACCCTGATCAGTTGTGTTTGGGCTGTAATCTCTGTTAGAATATTCAGAAGTTACTTGAACAACGACAGGAGTATCTTTACTACTAATTGTTTTTCTGGATTTTTGTATAATTAGACGACAATACCGCTTCTGCAGACCGATATCAACCTTACTAAGCTATGGAGCAAGGACGAGCGGCTGAACAAAGCGACTGTGTCTTGTATGCCAGCAATTACCCCCGCGCAAGGCTGATCAAACTTGCTTCATTAAGTGAACGCAAGCAAGGCTTCATGTGTGGATATGGCCATGAATTGACTTCATGTGCTAACGGTATACCAAAGAGTGACACAAACACTTGCTGGCCACTTAGCATTCATCCACCTTATAGGACAACACTCTCGCAATCCTAAATCACGTCCTATCTGTTCTCTCATTCACGATGGAAGCACTGCCACAGGAATTGATCAACCGAACAGTGTGCTTCGCAGAGCGTGACCCGGACAAGCATGAGTACTATCATACGATACATCAATCTTACAAACCTGGCAAAGCGCGGCCTCAATTTCCTCGCCTTACGATTCTCAACGGCGCGTGGAAAGAAGCAGTGGAGAGTATCACATTTCGCCGCCTAAACGTCTCCAATGAACACGACCTGGAAGACTTCCAAGCAAATGTGACAGGGAGCCGGCGAGAATACTTTTCCCAGATTATTGTCACAGTGAGATTGCCAGAATATCCGAGATCCAGAGACACGTCGCTAGAAATATTACGGTGGACCTATGATGCGTGGAACGAGAATTTTACGGAAGCACTAGAAGACTTATTTAAGATTTTACGAAAGTGGGAAGATGATGGTTTGCGGAATGTGTTGCGGCTTGATATCCTCCTAGGAGTGACAATGCCGACTGCCCAGTATTGGGCAAGACAGGCAGCACTTTGTAGTGCCAGATGTGATTTCAAGCAACCACCTCGGGAAAGTTGGCTTCTGCGCTTCGCTCATCCTAACAACCTACCAACCTTGTCTAACACCCAGCATCTCACTGTGGAGGATGGTGAACAGAGACTTGCACCATCTATTGGACCAGATCCAGTCTTCTCGCTCCCAAATCTTTAGAAAACAGATTGGGGATTTCAAGATTTGTGCGACTTTTATGAAGAAGAATCAGATCTCGACCCATTCCATATCCCTGAGTACGAAGACGCTAGAGAGCCGAAAGCGCGTCGCGCAAATCGTATAGGATTTGCGAGAAGCCTCAGGCGGGCCCCTTTCCACCATCTCAAATCCGCCACAATAACCTTCGAACACGAAGCCCCCTTGGATCAAAGACTCCCCGTCCCAAGCCTCATGCCTTGTGGTTTCTGTAGCGGCCCCTTCAGCACCGTCCTCCATATCTTCTCCCGAAATCTCACAAGTCTCACTCTAAGTGCGCAAGTCGATTACACACTCTTCTGGCCGCAAGAAGAGCCCGCCACACCCCCTTCCTGGCCAAACTTGACAACACTCGACATCACTATGCCCATGGTCTCCCCCCGGGGCAAATGGTACTTCACCGGACCCCTTCCACCCCTCTCCTCCTCTTCCTCCTTCTCCCCCTCCTCCTCCACAGCCGACGGCACCATCGACGACCCGGCCTCAGACAAACAGGACTACAGCAACTTCCGCACCCACCCCGACCCCTTAACCTTCAAACCTCTGCTCGAGGCCCTCTCCAAAGCAGCACTGCACATGCCCGTCTTGCTCTCTCTTATGCTAACAGTGGAAGTCGAGTGCAAGAGGGGAGACGCACGAATCACATATCACGCTCCCTGCGAAAAAGTAGACTGGGGCGATGAAGATCAAGGTGATAAAGGTAAGAGACGAGTGTATTACGATGTTGATGTGGAGCATTGGCAGCCGAAACATAAGACTACGGCAAGGTTGAGGAATGTCGGGGAGGAGCGGTTTGTGGGAGGGAGGTTTTGGAGAGATTTATTCGGGGGTGTGTTTAAGGCGATGTACTCGATATCATGGTATCGAAAAGGGGGGAGGGGTTGTTTAGTGAGATTGGGGTTGATAGGGTTGAGAAGTAACCATGGTAGGAGATACAGTTCTCTGTCACAAGGGGTAAGATGGCATTTCGTATGTAATGTATTGATTTTTCACGATAATTGAACGGGGAAGCAGCATACATAACATGCTCAGACTAGCTTCCTTGGCACCCGGTGGACAACGCTTTCGGGGACTCAGCACAGGCTGCCTGCCGTACTAAGATGGATAACGCATCTGAAAGTTGGTAGCTCCATAGCTTTACAACATTGCTGTAGCACAGAAAATAAATGAGACCGTGTAGACGCAGGATTTTTTCCTATATTCGAAAGTAATAACCTCTTTGTCTAATAGCTTTAAGAAAAGGAGCTAGGGAAATGATACTAATAGCAACAAAAGATCAGCTATTTACGAGTCGCTGGAATTTCGTCTGCCAAGTGGCAGTCTAACATGCTCAAACCAGCCTACCTAGATTGCGTTTTAAGATTGGACTCCAATGTACGCATAAATACACGACGTCATGGGCGTTTCAAAAAGTAAAAAAGCAAGCAAGTGACTTCATTCCAGATACGCATACAGCAACCAAGAACAAAGACAAAGGTCATTACGAAGTAAGTATAAAATGCATTATCTAGCCATATTGGGGGGGTATATACATTATCTTTAACTCCATAATGCCAGAGAAAAAACCCCATCAAAAAATTCCAAAAAGAAAACCAAAAAAACCATTTCGCAATCGAGCCGTCATAAAAGCCATTTTAGGTGCTCTTCTCTCACCAAAGGGTAACAACTAAAACAAAAAAAGCAAATAGATGTGCATGCCATATCGTTCAAATCCCTGTTGTCGTTCCGACCACACTGGCCTGCCGCCGCAGGTTGGCAACCATTTCGTGTTCTTGGCGCAGAGCCCTCCAGTCAAACTTCTCAAAGGCAAAACTCCATATGCGCTCGGCAACGCTGAGACCCCATTTGCTCATGAGGCCATCATCGTGATGGGAATTGGTGCGACCAACATGCTGGACAAGACTAGGGGTAATGGCATAGCGCAGCTCGTGGCGCTCGTTAGCGAGGTCCTCTAGCAGGACATCGATGTAGCCGAGATGGCGGTCTTTGAAGTAGTCTACGATTTCTGCGGCTTTGATGTTGGGGAAGACAAAGGCCTGGCCACAGCAGCCGAAGGCGGGCATTTCGTGGACACCGGGGGGCATGGGCTGGACGGTGATGCGACCAAAGGCGAAGAAGAGGAGGATGATGATTGCGAGGACGGCGTAGGTGGCTAGGAGGGTGCGGCGGGTGACGACGGTGATGGAGAATTTGGTGGTGGGCTGGAAGCAGCGAATGAAGATGAAGACGGCCGTGGGGATGAGGGCTACGTAGATGGAGTTTTTGAGGTAGGTGGTCCATTCTTCGGCGTTCCAACCGAGGAATTCTTCTGTGTAGAAGAGGCGCAGGTAGAGGAAGTCGGGCTTGGCGCGTTGGAGGGCCGCTTTGCGCTCTGCCTCGTCGATGGCGGCAATGGTGCGGTGGTACCAGCCATCGACAGCTACGGTGTCGTCCTCGAAAAGGGCAATGTAGGGCGTGTATTGCTCTCTGCACTTGTCCAAGAGGTATCTGTAGTCGAAGATGCCCTTTTCGTCAATCTTGTGCTGCGTCTCAAGATTGCGAATGTACTGCATGCGGTCGAAACCGTACCCGTAGGTGAGGACCTCATCGGCAAGTCCAGCCAGCCAGGCCTCATTGTAGGCTGGGTGTATTTCTGGTCGTGAGTGGGGGATAAAGACAATAAGGTAGATTTCTTTCCGCTCTTCCGGCGTGAGACCCTCGAGGAGAGAGCCTACTGCATCAGGCAGATACTGGGTTCCCTCGCGCTTGAACGAGGGTATGCCGACACACAGCTTCCTCTGCTTTTCGGGGCCGGCCTTGACAACGGTGGCGGGGTTGTAGGAGGAAACAAAGGCTTCGGCCTGCTGACGCCTGAGGGCGGAATAGCGCGGAGTGTATCCTTTGTTGGGATCGAAGAAGACGGAGGTCGGGTCGCGGGCGGATACGGAGTTGATGGTATATATGAAGCTAAAAGCAATGAAGACGGCAAAGCCTATGACGATGCGCGAGGGTGAGAAGTGCATGGCTGTGTGGGCTATAGCGAGCGGAGGATTAGAGAAGTGGACTTTGATGTAAGTTTGGTCAAGGGCGTGGTGGCATCGCTAAACGAAGGGTGTGGGTGTGGGTGAGGGAAACGAGGGTGGTGTGCAGAAGCAGGTCATGTCATCGTGAAGGCGCGTTATTAGTTGACATGTGGATAGGGAAAAAAAAGATAGGAGCAACGGCCTCTAGAGGAAGGCGGGTACGAGGGGGTCTGAGCGGAGGCTCCACCAGGGCTGATGCTGTCGGGCGGGGATCTACCACTGTAGCTGATGAAGATAAAATTAGCCCTAAGCATGGGCGCCGGCCGCTGTTTCGTCCTCGTGGCATGGCATCGCACAAGCCAAGCCAGACAAGGCGCCGGCCTGCTCGTGAATCTACACAGTTAGGTACATGTGTACTAGGTGTACAGATGCGCAGTTGGAAGAGAGTTTTCTTTACAGCCGTCACTGGCAGGGTGGCAGACATGTCAGGCAGCGGGAGGAAGCATCCCCCCGCATGAGTAAGATAAGACGTCGCGTGCCGCTTGGTTATGCGCATTTGGCTTTCTGGGCGGTTTCGTTTTGTTTGATGAGCACTGAGGGTATCTCGAGAGGCGACGCCCTCACGGCTCCTCTAGGCACATGTCGGTCTCGGCGCTCGATGCGCTGGTTGGGGGTGGCATGTCTGCCATTGGTCTTTTTGCCACGTCCTGTGCCCTATTCCCTGCGGGTGCAGAGGACATGCGTAAGCCAGTCGTGTTCGGCGCGCTCTGAATAGGGGCAGACAGGCGATAGTTGGAATACAAGGGCCGATGGCCCCGCCGCATGAGAGGCTTTTATATATCGGCTTAGCCTGTCGCCATTAGCGCCACAAGCCTCTTGGAAGACGAGACTGGCTAACGTCACCACCGTTCAGCGCCTTCGACATGGCATGTGCATGTGCAAAATGCTTCCAATTCCGACGTGGAGGCGCACACATGTCCAGCCCACCATCACGGCCATGGTCGACCTTGTAGTTGCTGCACGTGTGTAGGCGCACATGTGTGCAGATAGTACTGTACACTGCCTACGACGGATGCGCCATACTACTCTACACGCCGAGGGTCCGGTGGCGGCACCATGGCGAACAAACAGCTCTCCCACTGCCGTCTCTTCTTCACACCCAGTTGGAGTCACACCCACCGCCATCGCCATCCCTCGCTGCGGATGCTGCGCCTGTGGACCTGTGCTCCTTCACAAATCCCCATTGATCCAGTCATACCTGCCTGACTCACAGTGCCAATCGTGCTCACACACCCCGCTTATGTATAGCTAGCAGCATATCACACATTTCTATCCGCACCGCATCTACACAGTACACACAGAGCCCTTAGCACCTGGCGCCATGCCCAAGAAGCACACGCCCTCATATACTACCGCGAAACCATCCTATGTTCACCCTTCGCTGCAGAGCTCGCGCTCAACCTCATCCTCGGTCTCGGCCGCAGAACCCCAGACGGTCAACCAGCGCATACAGCAGCTCCGTCGCGAACAGGCTCCACGAGCAACCCCGCAACAACGAGATGAACTCACCTCGGTAGTAAGCAACCGCACCGTTCCGCCGGAGCTGCGGCGCATCCTGCACATACCCGAAGTTAACGCTCCCAAACCAAAGGCCAACTCGAGGATGCGCCGTGCCAACGGCGGCGCGAGGCCACCACCAGGCCCCGCAGCTCCCACGAGCTGGCTACAGACGAGCCGCCACGGTTCCGTGCTCGGAAGAAAGAAGACGGGACAGGTCAAGGAGAGCGCTGCCCGGTTTGGCACATTGGCACAAGTCACGGATGAGGAAAGAAAGGTACGACGCCATTCGCCCCAATCTCGCACTGGCGTTTGAGTGTCGTCCAGGCTTAATGTTGCAATTCAGGCTTCTTACTCATGACAGCGCTTACCGCACCCTCGAAGTCTTGCCCACCAATGCCTACGGACCTTTACGCTGCATTGGCAAGAGCTTTCCGAATACGAGCAACACTACATTCCGTCGCTACCGATATCGCTCAGGGAGTCATTGCTGAGCTACTTGACTGTGTACGGTGAGCCAGGAATGGTCGATTTCAAGTCATTAAAGATATTGTTTCAGAATGAAGACGGAGGAACAGCAGGCTGTGAAGAGGTACAGATTTTGGACCTTTCCAGGCTATTGAGTGAAAACTTGACGCTTCACGATGTTGGAAAGTGCCTCAAGCGGCCAAGTGCGACGACACCAGTCCATGTCAGTATGGAGACACTCAGTGTAACGGACGAGCTAGCCGAATCATGGGAACAAGAAGCAGATGAAGGAACATCAACTCCCCCAATACTAGCAGCGAAGCTCCACATACCACTCTTTGTGAACCTCAGTCGGCTATCTCTTGCCAACCCCGGGCCATGGGCGTCTTGGCCAGAACTACTCCGCATCTCCCCCAACCTTAACAAGATCACGCACCTGTCGCTCGCCCACTGGCCTCGGCCGTCAATGACGCCGAACGCAAAGACGACATCGATGATCTCGCGGCACACCAGAGTCTCGCTAGGCGGATCCGACTTTTACTCGGATCTCGACGACGACTGGCACGAAGCGACAAACATTATGCGGCGCTTCTCCAAAGACACGTACTCGCTGCAGTGGTTAGACCTCGAGGGCTGCTTCTGGCTCAAAGCACTGACATCGCACGGCGGCAGGTCTGGCGTCGACGCCGGCCTCAGCACCGAGGAATGGAGCACCCAAGAAGGAATCCCGGGTCCAGACTGGAACGACTCGTGGCGCCGTATTACCTATGTTAATGTGTTCCAAGGCTGGATCCCGAGTGATAGTCAGAGTCTGCAGAATATGCCTGCGGGCATTGTGCCTGTGCAGTTACTCCGGTGGCTACGCGAGAACAAAGATAAGGAGCATGTCAAGTGGCGGTTGAATGGTCAGGAATCGGGGCATGCGGTTGCCGAGTGGGTGAATCGCGAGAAGGCGGCGAGGATTGTGGCCATGGATATCCAGGCGGTGCGCAAACGCGGGGAGGGCGTGTGGTGCGTGGTTGATTTTGGATGGGGAGGTTCCGGGGTGAAGATGGCATAGGAGATACTCACA